AAAGTTTATTTTTGCAATTAATGGTTTAATACATTGTTATTATGTATGAGGGGAAGATTATTAGTATATATATATATATATAAATCACTAATTCTCTAATTGAGGGCAATTAAAGGAGAGGGTTACAGGGTTGGGGTTAGATTAAGGAAGGAAAGGAATGGGGTTATAGGGTTAGGGTTAGGGTAGGATTACAGGGTTACATTGGAGGAACAGGTGGGGAGGGGGAGGGGGTGTAACACCCTCTTTTTTCTTTGTTATTTTATTCATTGTATTTATTGATGCATTTTTGTTTTAAATAGAAAGTCTTTAAATGTTGGTGGCTGTTGACAATCTCATTCAAGTCAGTCATTCTAGATCATTCTCGCTGATGTGAGATAAATCTTGCCCAAGCGAGAAGAGAAAATATCGCTCCAACTATCTTCTCACCTAGGCAAGAAGACACAAGGTAAATGGAGAGTTCTCTGGACTCATTTTTGTTTAGGCGAAAATATCAGAAAAAGCTTGAAAACTCTATTATAAAAACTTGTATTACAATCTAAGTCACATTTTCTCTTATTTCTCTCTATTTTCTCATTTTCTTTCCTCAAAGAAACCTTCCTTAAACCTTGATCCTTCCTTGAATCTAGATTTGGGATGATATAATACTTGTTCAAGGGTTACAGGTTCTTCCAAAATATTATCTTTCATCCTTGCAAAATCCTTTTCAAAATATCTAGCCTATCACATATCAAAATAAAGCAACTTTTGATCCAATATCATCACTATATTCATCCCAAATATCTATTTAGTAGCTTTAATAATATTTTTTTAATAGTACAATGAATTTTGTAACATCTTAATTCTCAATATCCGTGGTCTGCTAAATTTTGACAAAACCTTTGTCAAAATTTAAAATAAAAAAAATTAAATTATTAGGAATTATTTAATGTGACTTTAGAGTTTTATATTCATTAGATAATTTGCGATTTTCTAGAATTTTCTGAAAATTTTAAGAAATACTTAAAATTAGCCTATTTTGCGGGAATCTTAACAAAAATAAATAAATTTTCAAACTAAATTTAATTCTATAGCAAACAAAGCCGTAAAATTTTAAAAATTTTACGAGAGCCTAATAATATTTGAAAAATCTTGAAAAGTAAATTTTTACAATGAAATTTGATAAATTTCAAACTTTTATTTTTCAGTACATCTAATATGCAGACAAGAGATGAACCGATCCGAGAGCAATTTGAGTGAATTAAAATTTTAGTGACTATCCCAGTATTATTCTAAATATTCTACTATTTTTTTAAAAAATTTCTCTACTTGTTAAACTGAAAAAGAAATATACATTTGCAAAAGTGAAATTTTTAAGTTAAAAAAAAAAGATAAAGTAATTAAATTTTTACTTTTAAAAAATGATTGAGAGACAGATACATCTTCCACAAGTTTCCTGTAATTTTTTTTTCATTTCTCTCTCAAATACACTACTCATCTTCAAGCTTGATTTTGAGGACCAAAATTTGATCTTTTTGAAAAGTTTCAAGAGGTAAACTTGTTACCCTTATCCTCCTCTACACTTGTATGGTTTTATTTTTTTAAAATGATGTTATTTAATTTTTTCTTCGTACTTGGATGAGCTTGAATAGGAATGGGAAGGGTGTTATCTTGATTTTATTGTTGTGGTTTTACATCTAGGATACTAGAATCATACTTGAAATAGAGGATTAGAAGTTGTTGAACTAAAAACCTAAGAACCCAAATTCGCAGGTCACTGTTCACTAAATTCTGCGATTTTTATGAATTGAATTAGGAGTTTATGTCTTCATGAAAGTTGTAGCCCTTTTAATACTTGAAATTTAGCCACTGGTTTCACCTCAAACGGATATTTGTAACTCAAGTTATGTCCATTTTACTAAAAGGTGTTCTAGCTGTCACCTTAGGAGGTTGCCCTGTTCTAACAGCCACGGATTTTGATTTACTGAGACTTATGAGTGTAAAATTAGGACTCGACTCCTTCATAAAAGTTTCATAAAATTGTATGCTTGAAATTTAGAAATTAGTTTCATGTCAATATCTTATGTGTAGCGTGAGATATGACCATATTACTAAGGTATGTTCAGAGTGTTAGTGTAGTTGATCCCTGTCAGAAACAGCCACTGTAACCTGAAAACTGGCACTATTCTATAGGGTATTTGAACTTAATTCCTTCATAAAATTTGTAGATAAATAAACCCTTGAAATTTGGAAACTGGTCTCATGTTAAAATATTAAGTATATCTTGAGTTATGGCAAAAACACTAAACCTTGTGCAATCTGCTCGAAAATTTCCCTGTCATGACTTTGATCAACTTTATTGTACAATCTATTTTGAATTAGACTTTGACCTCTAATCAATATTGTAGATAATTACGTTATTGAAATTTGGGCTTGGACCTCATGCCAAAACAGTCTATATAACTCTAGAAAATCCCAAAGTACTAAACCTTGTTCATGTTTGCCATTAAGATTCTTCCTACTCTAAGTGTGTACTAACTAGGATGATTTTTTTAAGCTGAGTGTGGGGTAAATGTGAGCTTAACATATTACAAAAAAAAAAATGGATTAACAAAACAAAGTGAGTTTAAATTCTCACGAGATAAAATCAGAGAACTATAAGGTTCTAACTAGCGTTTCATTACGTGTATAGATTTCGTCGAAAATCAACTTCAAGCGTTAGAGAGAACAAACATAGACGTAACAGGTAAAGGGTGGGCTATGTAGTAAGGATTACATCATAAACTTATTTAACCTTATTTGTTGAAATTGTCTAAATTTTGTTATGATTGATGATTGTGATTTTCTTATATGCTTAGTTTTTATAATGGTTTGCTTATGTGTTTGGTGATGGAAATATATGTTTGATACTTCATTAAGACATAAATTGTGTTATATGATATGAGTTGTTTTTAAGTGAGCATTTATGTGCATGGTGGTTTTTCATAGGAAAGTTTAATGAAAACAAATTGAAATGATTGAATGATGGATTGAGAACTCTTATATACTGTATTGGAAAGTTTTCTGATTGCAACAGATATTTGAAAAATTTTGGAAAATCCGTATTACAGGGGAAACTCTGTCAAAAAAATATATTTAGACTTAGAAATTTTTCTTTAATCATTCTTAAACAAATTTAAGAATTTAGAAATATAGGACTTTTCTAAGAAAAAAAAAATCACTTAGGAACTCATACATTACTCATCCGAAAATGGTATTTTGTGCAAAATGGAGAATTAGAGACTATGGATTCTGAGAATACGATGGGGAGGCCCTGAGAGAGGACTTGGGGATAGGAAGGGTAGTGGTTGGAAGCCCTAAAAGACTCAGGCACGCTACCTGTTGTCGGGGATCCCACTGTACAAACTCTCCTGTACCTAACTGTGCTCTTACCGTATATCATGGTCAGTGAGCTACTAGGTTCATATTTGAGCGTAGATCTCAACAATTCGGTGGGTGGATTTCCATACCTAATAGTATCAACTCCTGGCTACCCCAGCACTGTTTTAATGAAACGATTCGGGCCCGCATGCATGGACATTTTAGAAAAACAAACTAAGATCATGCACCATCATCATCATTCATTGGAATACGATTGATCTGTGAATGTTTATGATATTTGATTTTAATGTGATATATGAACTATTGCTCACCCTATCGTTGTTTCTATTTTCTTTATTTTTTTCTCTGTACCTGCGGTATTCATTAGACTTGATCGATTACCACCTGTAGCAGAGAGAGATGGCCCAGATTCCACACCAAATGAATATGACGATCAGGCTCATTAGCCCAGAGCCACAGCGATGACAGCACGATTAGAATAGACACACGCATACTTTTGCGGGCATACTTACTATATTTTTTAGGAGAGCGGCAGGACTCGGAGGTGGTATCCCTATTACCATAAGGACTAGACTAACCCTTGACTTAGATAATAATAATCCTTTTCAGCCTATACCACCACCAATTCCCACTCCAGCTGAGGAGGAGGAAATGGATATTGATATTCCAGAGTCCTTTGATCACCGATGAGTCTGAAGATATGAATTCAGAGTAGTACTGATACTACTTTATTTTTTATTTTATTTTTTTGTAGTATTTTGCTGTACATAGGTCTTTATGGTATTGGGTAGAAGCCACACTTTTTGATTAGTTATGCTGCTCTGTAGGAAGTCATCTCCAGTGTTGCTTTTGTTATTTTGAAGAACTGTAACTGATGTTTCATATGCATGTAATTATGTTGATAGGTGAAATGGTAATTGAGTTCTTCAATTAATAGTGTTGTGTAATGCGGGGAATTTACTAACCATTTTACCCTTTGTATTACTGTAAAAAGGATATTTAAATATTTATAAAAGTTTACCTTAAGTACTTTATGCAGTGACGAAATTCTGAAATGTGTTATTATGTATGAGGGGAAGATTATTAGTATATATATAAAAAAAATAAAAAATCACTAATTCTTTAATTAAGAGTTTGTAAATCAAAAGTGTTACATTAGTGGTATCAGAGCAGTTCGACCCTTTAGGCCTGGGGAAAGGTCTACTTAAGCTGTTGTGCACTCTTTGTAGTGAATTATGTGTAGGAAATTACCATGATTTAACATCAATGATGATTTCCTGATAACGTAGTCAAATTCGATTCGATGAACAGGAAACAATGGCGGGACGAGGTGGTCGACTGTCTGCTTTAGTGGAGAGACTAATTGTTGCAATGGAGCAGGACCGACAAGCTCGGATGCAACAAAATTGTATACCTCAAGGTGATGATGCTTTGACAAGATTAGACTTATTCGAGAAGAGGAACCCTCCCCGATTCAAGGGAGTATATGATCCAGAAGGTGCACAAATTTGACTTAGAGAAATGGAGAAGATATTTCGTGCTCTACGATGCACAGAGAATGACAAAGTTGTGTTTGCTACTTATGCACTAACGGAAGATGCTGGTGGGACGGAGTGAGACAAAGATTTGAGAGAGAAGGTGTAATGATTACTTGGACCTTGTTTCAAGAGAGATTTTTAGAAAAGTACTTTCCGGAAGATGTTCGAGAGAATAAAGAGATGGAATTCTTGACACTGACGCAAGGATCTATGAATGTAGGAGAGTATGCAGCAAAATTTGAAGAACTTTCACGGTATCACCCCCACTACCACAATGCCATCAACGAGAGGCCTAGGTGTGTGAAATTTGTCAATGGACTTCGCCCTGAAATTAAGGAAGCCATAAGAATGCAAGAGATTCAGAAGTTTTCTACATTAGTGAACAGATGCAGGATTTTTGAAGAAGATCATAAAGCAAGGATTGCCAAGTTCAGAGAACACCGTTCTGAGTCTTCAGGGACAAAGAACTATGGGTCTCAACGCAATCAAATGAGAGGGTTTGGAAGAGGACAGCCATATCAGAGGCAACAACATCAAAGGGGACCCACAATTGAGATTCCTCAGAACCGTGGTAATAGTGGAAACTATATGTCGGCTCTACCTAGAGGAAGATGTTTTGCTTGTGGAGGAGAATACTACAGGAAAGATTGCCCAGTAAAACCATTAATATGCTTTAGTTGTAAGAAACCTAGGCATATGTCCCGTGACTGCCCGATGGTGAAGAAGGAAGGAGATGGAGGCAATAGAAATTATAACAACCAAAATCCTAGTGGAGGGGTAGCTAGCAAGCCAAAGGCTCATGGTAAAGTTTTTGCAATGAGCGGAAAAGAAGCATCTCACTCTGACATAGTGATTGGAGGTACGTGTATTATCCGAGACACCCTTTTATCTGTGGTGTTTGATTCAAGTGCATCACATTCATTTATTTCTACTAGTTGTGTGGAACAATTAAGATTACCTACCATAGCATTGCCATTTGATTTGTCTGTTCATACCCCAAGTAATGACCCTGTTATCACTGCCAAAGCATGCTGGGATTGTCCTATTAGTATAGATGGTAGAAACTTTGTAGTGAATCTCTTCTGTCTTCCTTTAAAAGGATTGGAGGTTATTTTGGGATTGGACTGGTTATCTGACAACCATGTCATCATAGACTGTTGCAGGAAGACTATTGTGTTTAGAGATTTTGAACATGACAATTCTGAGCAGTTAAGGATTCAAAGTGCCAACTACGAAGATGTTACCTTAAAGGAAGAAGTTCGGGGATTAGTAATGTGCTTACTGGTAGAAGAAAAGGAAGAAAAGTTAGATGATTTACCAGTAGTGAGAAAATTTCCTGATGTTTTTCCTGATGATATTTCAGGATTACTCCCAGAATGAGAATTAGAATTCAACATTGATCTGGTACCAGGAGTGGGACCTATTTCTATAGCCTCATATAGAATGTCCCTGTTGGAACTATCAATTAACAGTGTTGTGTAATGTGGGAAATTTACTAACCATTTTACTCTTTGTATTATTGTAAAAAGGATATTTAAATATTTATGAAAATTTACCTTAAGTACTTTATGCAGTGACGAAATTCTTAAATGTATTATTATGTATGAGGGGAAGATTATTAGTATATATATAAAAAAAATAAAAAATCACTAATTCTCTAATTGAGAGTTTGTAAATCAAAAGTGTTACAAATTTTGTACATGGAAGTAGTCCTTAAGATGCCTATGAGTAAGGGCAAAGAGCGATTATTTATCTTGTCATGCAATAACTTTCGCAGCAATTTGCCTATAAGGGTAGTCTTCATCTCCCTAACGTCGTTAACCTTAGTTTACCAAGCTTCATATTTTGAATAATTATGCTCCAATTGACTTGCTTCCAACAATTTCTCTCCACATTCTTAAACTCAATAGTTAATTTAGGTAAATTGCAATATCTAGTACAAAATTGTAATTTCTTAACCTCAACTAAGCAAAATTCATTGCTTTACTGATGTTAAAAGAACTTCCCACAAACTCCTAATAATATAGAAATAGATTATCTTAAGTTTGGCATGTTCAACGAACCTAAAGCAACTTCCTTTTACATGGCTTATGCTCATGGTATAAAAGGCTCTTCCCCCACTTTGTATATCTTATTAATTATCATTGTTTGTACAGGTATGGCCAATTCTGTTGCTTAAAGACACAAAGGTCGTTGGAAGAATTGAAGTGTTCTTATTTGGAGTTACAGAAGGTTGACCCTTGACCATTGACTTTGGCATGAAGTCTTTCCTTGTCTCTATGCCACATGTTTCCTTTCCATTTTGTTAATCTTTTGTATTGGATATGAATCTCACAACATAAGGCGCTACATGATCATTTGGAGTACCTTCTATAATTTAGAGTGTCATAAATTTTTTTTCTTTAATATCACCTTATATTAACATCTAAATTATTTGTTTTACTAATTTTTCAAGATATTTTTTTGTTGACTATAAGTCAATCTTCTTAAGGAACAATTAGAGTCAAATTTATTTGTTGGGATATTGTACTAGAATTAATTTTCATATCTTTCTTGATTTTATATCATAATTGTTGGAATGACTTTTGGTCATTAGTTCTTGAAAGTTGGCACTAGGGTTTTAGTGGCCTTCTTGCAACTAGGGGTAACATGGCCATAGCAACCACAAGAAGAACGTAAGATATAAAACTTTTCATGTTCAATATTGTACCAATGGCCTTGAAACAACAATTTCCTACCACCAATTCATTAAGGCCTATCTCTACACACTCTTATACGAATCTCCCCCTTTTCATGTTCAACATATTAAAAAGGATGTTCAACAGTTGAGGCCAAAGAAAGGAGTATGCTTTCATTATATAGTTCCATTCCAACACTTGAGAATCTAATCCAAAAAAGCTTTGCTTATTTTTTTTCTTGCGAAGCCATAGATAATCCATGGACCCCTATTGGTTGTCTTATCATGGTCTTCAACAAAATCAAATTTGACCATCAAATATTTGGATCCAATATTCTTGAATTTAAAATTGCTACTCAATTTTTATGTTTTACATAATTTCTCCCTCATAAGCACGAAGTCCAAGATATTCTCCAACATCATCACAAATAAGGCACTTTCACCATGATTGGTGAAAACTATCATAATTGTTGGCTAAATTAAGCTATCATAAACTTTATCATCAATGTAAAACTTTCCCTATATGTTCAACAGGTATGAAACCTTGACTCAATATGTTTAATGCAAGCCTTACATCCTTTCCAATGAATCTTATTCATTGTTATTCCTCTTTCAAAGAGAAAGGGACTAAATTTAATTAAAAAACGTTTAAAGTTAACTTATCTTAATTAGGAAAGTGTTGGACTAAACTAAATGTGAACTTGTTAAATCTTTTAATAAACATTTATTTTTAATGTGGCTACTCATAAAATAACTATTTTTGAAATTGTATAAAAATTTTAAGAATATTATACTACTGTATTTTTTTATATTTTTATTTGGAATCAACATTGATTTTGATCTCCTCTAATAGCTCATGACAATCTCTATGGCTTGTCGATCATCTTTGATGGTAGTGCCCTAGTCCTCATGGAACCTGATGCAATTTAAATTTCTCACAAGGAATTTCATCCATTTCAACCTTAGAAGATTTGTATTAGTGATTCATTAACTTTAAATTCAATCCTATAGAGTAAATTTGAGGCTTTCTCATTGTTCAATTTTGGTTAAGCCTTCATCTCTTGATTTTGTGTTTTTTTACTTATTTAATTCTTGTTATTTTTATTAAATCTTTATTTAAATATTTTCTATTTGGTGTCTTAATCATTCATATTCATGATTATATGTTCAAAATTCTAAAAAAAATTGTTAATCCAAGTACTTCACATATTCTTTGAAGTTCATCTATTTTTGTTCTTGTTAGTTTATTGGTTTTGTTTTATCCTTATCTTTTTGTCATTTGTTTTTATAAGTATTAATTTGCTATCTTTTCAATTTGTTGTCTTATCTTTTTATCTTTATCTCTTAATTATTTTAACATATTTATCTATTGCAAATCATATTTTATTGTTATCTTGATATCGTTATTTTTAAGATGTTAAGTTATTGTGAACATTTTTAGAGTATGTATTTTACCTAATTATCGTTTTGATGTATCGTTATTTTTAAGATGTTAAGTTGTTGTGACATTTTTAGAGTATGTATTTTACCTAATTGTCGTTTTCATGTATAAATTGTGTAAATTCTTACATGGTATGTTAGAGCTTTAGAGTAGGATTGACTTATGAGTCCATATAACAAATAATTACTTTTTGTTATTTAAAATAAAATAATATGTATTGCCCCGTGTAACTTATTGAATGATTTTAATAAAAGTAATATTTAATATAATAGTTATTAGAATCACAATAATTATATTTACATTTTATTTTTCACCATTAAACAAACAAGAATAAAAAGAAGAGAAAGAAAAAGTATAAATAAATAAATAAATTTAAGACACGTTAAGACCATAACACAAATTTAAATAAATCTATTTTACATCTTTGTTGTGATAAAATCATAAAATATAAGATTTTTCTTAAATTTTGTAATTTTTAAAATAGATTAATCTAACGAAAACTTTCCCACTAGAAAATATAATTTTATAACAAACCAAAACCAACTAAGAGTTGAAAAAAAAAACATAACATACCTTTTGGAACAAAATCGAAAATTGACAACTTTCTAAATATTAAGAGGGACTCCAACTGTAGTCATCTGAACCTGAACAAGTAAAACAATATAAAAAAAGGCTACTCAAATTTCTTTACAAGTTTATCATCAATTAAAATAATATAAAAAAGGCTACTCAAATTTGAATATGAGTAGAGGAAAGAGAAATAAAAAAAAAAAATTGACATAAGATATAGTTTAAAGCTATTTCATATTAGTGTTTGACTAAGTAGAGGAAAGAAGAAGAAGAAAAATGATTCAAAAACGAAAAAGGTTCCATAAAGCCTAAATTGTGTACCCAAAAGAATGCAGCAATGCTGATGTTTTGGCTTAGACAGTGCTTGCTAAAACTTATATCTATGAATCACCAATGCACCTATCACAATAGAAGGAACTTATGTAGTGATCATCAATGATTCAATATATCACAAAGGCATTTTAAATATAATAAAAGAAGCTATAAAAAGTGTTGCATAAGGAGACATAATGGAATATGAATCATTAGATCAATTGTGAAGTCATCCGCATATGGAATTTTTCATTAGAACTCAAACAGGAATTAAAGGAGTGCTTTTGCTATTGAAATAGAAAATATGACAAAGTTATTGCCTGGACTTGAGGATAACACATATAAAGGTGAGTATGCTAACATTTCGCTGAAGTTTACTTCAATTTCCACAAGTGAGGGAGGGCACCAATAAAGTCCATAAGATCGAGAAGGTGTAATAAATTACCTAAAAACAGGAAAATAAAAAAATGTAATTATGAGGAAAGATCATACCAAATTTAGTTAATAAATGCTTTTAAAGATAAACATATCTCCTCCTCAAAAATAATGTGAGATTTTCTTAGTGATGTAAGTCTCTTATTAGATTTTGTATATTAATTATTTTATTTTAAGCAAAAATAATTATTTTATTTTAAGTAACTTTAAAGTTGAGTTACTAAATGATATACAAAGTTTATGTTGCTGTAAATTATACGTGCAATATTTGAAATAGACTATGACTACATAAATATATAACAATAAAGAAAGTTTGAAATATTGTTACCTGAGTGAAACTAATCGTCTATGCATATTATTTCTCAACTATTTGTTTGTAATTTCAAGTTGAAGAAAAATGATTTCATATCCTTTTGTAATACGAACACAACATTTAGCTATGTTCTATGAATGAACGTTAAGCTCTAAAATCTCTATTTATGAACTTGGTAGTAAATTGTATCTTCTCTTTCAATCTTCAACAACTGGTAACTTATCTCTTAAAGAAAAGTTAGTAAATATTTTTCTTAAAATTCATTTTTAAGTATTCTTCACTTAAAGTTTATGTCATATTTGATTTTGTTAGAACAAGTATGGACTTTTTAGTATGTCCATACTAATATAATATTGTTCACTTTGAGCCTAAGTCTTCATAGTTTTGTGAATTTTTATGAACTTGGTAGTAAATTATATCTTCTTTTTCAATCCTCAACAACTGGTAACTTATCTCTTAAAGAAAAGTTAGTAAATACTTTCCTTAAAATTCATTTTTAAGTATTCTTTACTTAAAGTTTATGTCATATTTGATTTTGTTAGAACAAGTATGGACTTTTTAGTATGTCCATACTAGTATAATATTGTTCATTTTGAGCTTAAGTCCTCATAGTTTTATGAATTTTTATGAAC